GTCAGGCTCGTTACAATAATAAAAAGTAAGTAGCTAATAATTAATAACTTAATTTAAAACACAGAAATCTTATAGGTAAGTTTCAACATCCAATGTGTTGACTAAATAAATATGAATTTAATAAAAAGCTATTTCAGTACAAAACAATAATTGTAGTTTTTAACAAACAAACATTATTCTCGATAACATATTGCACATAATAATATAAACTATATCTGCTCAAATACAGTGATAAAATTAATGGCTAAAGCTTGAAAAAAAAAACTTGGTGAACGGTATAATGAATAAATTAAAATAGTGTCAACGACAAAAACATTAAAATAAAATACGATTTAAACGAAAAAAAAATTGTTTTTGCTAGAAACCGTATCGTGCTTTAAAATAGGGATATCAGTAATAATAATTCTCCAATAAGGTGTTAGTTAAAATTCAAGTAGGCAACCGAAGAGAATATTATATCTTTGATTTGTACTCTAAATAAACAATAGTGAGTATTGGCTTAAATCAAAATAACTGAACAAGAAAAAAAGGGGTGATTTTTTTTAGTGCAGTAATTTATAATATATAATTTTTGACATATAGCTATGAACCTTTAAAAACATCAAAATGCTTAAATAACTCAGGTTTGTCTTTTTGTCGGAGTTTAAATAAAGACTCTATTTTCAAATGAATCTACTAATATTTTCTCACAAAAATTGTAACTCATAGCATACTTTTTTTTTGTTTACAAATCTGTTTACAATACAGCTGCATTGTAAACTCTAAAAAATGTGATTTATGTCCAAAATTATGTACCTAATTATTTTTGTTGTTTCAACTGATCTCCTGCCGGTAGTTTAGTGTTATTTATTGTTGCATACTATTATGTAATGAAGTGAATAGACATGACGTCCAACATATTATACAACTACAAATGTACAACCAAGGTTGCCGAAAATAATTAATTATACCAATAAAAAGTTTAGATTGCGAATCACTTGATTCTAACAATATTAATGTTATTAAAATTAGAGAAAAAAAAATAGTTACTTCAACAATTACCGCATAAATGACCAGAGACAGATAACCCGTTCCAATAAAATAAAATTAGATTATTTTTTTTTAAAAAGTCGCATACTCACATATTTAAAAATATTTTTTAGTCTGACCATATTATAGTAACCAAGTTGTCCATATTTTTCAATTTAAAAGTCAAACAAATTTAAGATGTGAACAAAAGAAAATAAATTTACTATTGTTTTAAACAAAAAATAAATTAATATTCGATTTGAACTTAATATATACTTTTTCAGATTTATTTTTCATACAAAACACTTAAGTGAACTTGTCTTGATAAAGTCAATTTAATGCCTGAAAGTGCATAACGAACGAAGACCTTAAAATAAACATAAGCAGACTTAGTGGAAATGCTGCTTCAATGCAAAATGATATTATAATAACTTCATTTAATTTAATATTTGTTCAAGGTGTATTGTACCTCGTTTTATTTTTGTGATCGATCAAAGTGAATAATTGTAAAATCAGTCACATTACCTATATTTACTTATTTTGATGATTTGTAGTTTTGCATACTATATAGGACAACATTCGAATACCTTTTGAGTCGTTAAGACATTTATTAAAAATTATCTGAAGTTACTCTTTTGGACGTTTTTTTTTTTTTCAAATAAAAAAAAACTATTTTACAACCAGTAATAGGACAACCAATTCGCTGAATGGCACTCGAGATGATCGACGGGTTCCACGTGCTTTAGGCTGTTGTGATTTCTGATAACTTCCAGCGCGAAGGCGGTCGTATTAGCGCTGAACGTGAAGGCTTTGTCCAGCGCGTTGTGGGCGTCCGTCTTGAGATGCACGTATTCTTCAAAGTTATCCACACCTATCGACGGCTGGCTCTTTATGAACTTGCACAGTTCGTTGTAGGTGTCTCGCATTACACCCAGCGAAGGTTTACTATTGTTTGCGTACATGAACAGAGCCTCCGGATGTATGGGGTAGAACATTTCGTGCGGCAGACAATCATCGAACGGTGGCGTTACCTGAGAATAATTTTTGAAAAAAAAATCATCACGGCCACAGTTTAAAATAGACTTTTCGGCGGCATAACTAAGAAGGCCAGACTAGAGGCGCTTGGCTAACTCTAAAGTTTTGTCAGACAGCATGCAATCCCCTGGAAAGTGTGAACGCGGTTGGGACGGGAAGGCGGTAGTGGGAAATCGATGATTCCCGGTAATGTGATAAGAGATAATGATAAGAGAATCAGCCGCCGTGGAATGAATGATAAGAAATTCAGCTGATAAGAGATAACGATAAGAGACTGCTGACGAGTAAGACATGCGTGTGATCTATTCAAGGAACTGATTGAATAGTCATAGATATTTTCAACAAAACAATCTAAATTTCCCAACAATTTTTCAATTTAGAATCGTCCCCAAAAATAACGAGGAGTCGGTCGATATTATTCATACACAAAAGAATAATTGGGAAATTTTTATCTTTGTTATGTTGCGAGCTGTGCACTACTTTGCAGGCGATTTAACAAACAAATCGATATTGTATTTTGTTCAAAAGTTGTGCATTCGAGAGGCCGACAGTTGTGTTTATTCAATTGCGCCGAAATTAATGATAAAATAATAATTCCACGCAAATGTACACTAAACGCGTTTTAGGTCGTTACACAATTTGTTATTTGACTGTAAAATATTTTATTTGCAAATCACAAATAATTGGAATAGTCAATGCGCGATATGGACTATAAAACAATACTCAAGGATTTTTTTATTTTTACTTAAATACATATATTTTATGGAGGTTTTTTTTAACATACATTTCTACACCATTTAAACGGGTTATCGACAGTTGAATATTTAGCGGGAAAACCAGTAATAATAATCTTTATGATTTTACATATTTTAACAATTTCTATGGAATTTTCGCCATTTTTAGTTGTTACCTTTGCCTTAAAATTCACATCTATTTTGCAGATATAATTTTCTAAGGTAGTGCCTAGGAGTTAGCTCGGCTTCCTAAGGAAGATCTAAACGAATAGAGTATAATAATATAATCGAGTGACGAAGAAAACTTATGAACAGCACCTTAAACGAATACATTGAAAAATATATAATTTTCATTTTGCCACCTTGTTAAATTTTGTGATAACTATTTGTACCTTTTTGGACGTACAACCAAAAATATGAGTTGTTTAAAACTACCTATATGGATTGAGCTTTTTTTTATTATAAAAATAAAACTGGCTTTTTGTCATTTTTGTCCAAACACCGTTTACTTGTCAACTGAAAACTATTTTATAAACTATTAGTTGTGCAAATACCGATTAATTTGTATTGATGGCCTATTCAAAAACCGCTCCAGTATGTATCATTTACCATTCAAATTAGCGTTTAAAATATAAATAATTCTAAAACCAACCTGGAGGTTTTTTGGAGAGGCAATTGTCAGTAATGGACGACGCACTCGGACCACCTGTAAAAATTGGAACTAGATTTTACATTGAATTATACACAAACTAACTTGAAAATTCCCAAAAAATTACTTTTCTACCTTCAAGAGTCACTGTAAGGTATAAGGTATACTTGTCATGAATAAATAAAACCTACTCGGAAAAGGGTTGTTAAATATTTTCTGTATTTTAGTTAGTAAGTATATATATGATTTAATTATTGTCACTTGCATAGTTTTTGTTAGATCTAAATAGAAAATTGGTGAATACTTTCACAACGAATATTTGCATATTGAAACAAAGTCGTTTCTATCTACAAAAACGAACATATATACCAAAAAATATGATAATTTAGTGCCAAAATTTGCTATATTTTTTTTTTCTGTGTTAATAATAAACATCTAAGCTTTGGAAAAAAAATCTGAATTTAATTCCCAACACTACACTGATATATTTGTCCCCCCCCCCCCAAACAAAACTTAGTTAGAGCCGGTTATGATATATGTTTTTTTTTTTATTAGTAGTCACGAAACCCTCTTGATTTACAACTTACATACCATCACTAGTAACATGGTGAAAATCGACTTGATAGTGTGCAATAACGACGCCATTGTCAAATAATAATTATCATATTTCTATACATAAACCGGACACACGTTGAGCCTGACAAGGAAATGCTGATTTTTATACCTCGGCAAACCTAATCTGTATTTAATAACTATTACTTGGTCCATATCAGCGCTTTGGAACAGCGCTAACAACTGATTCGGTAAAATATTTGGTCGATTTTTACATAATATATTTTGAAAATCCCAAAAAGCACGTATAGGAAATTAAAAATAAACTCAATGTCGTCAAGGTTTTTTTCTTCGTTTAAACAACCCTATTAAAAATAGTAATCAGATAAACCCGCATTGGGTAATTGGTTTTTCAAAATTACATTTTATCAACACTTATTATTAACTGGTTATGACTTAAGACGGTACAAAGTTAAAGCGGTTTTTATTGCCAAAATCGCCCATGCACGTTGCCGTTGATTTGAAAATAACATAAACTATAAAGAAAAAAATACTTTTAGTCTGAGACGCTAAATTAAAAAAAAAAATGACATTTTTTTGTATAAATTAAATTGAAAAAAAAAATGGTCAATGCGAATCCGCTTGAGAAGAGTTGGACATTATGAGTCGGATTATGTTCAAGAAATATAGAATTTATGTCTTAGATAGTAGTAGATAAAATAAAAAAAAACCCTTTGCTACTTAAAAATCATACTTAAATAATAATTTAAATTGATGAACACCAGCAAAAAAATAAATCAAGGAATTCGAAATAAGTCCTTTGTGGCTAGTAAACATATCGAGTTTCTAGCTAATATTTTATATTATCTGGCTTAAAAATAATATGACCTCTTAAATTATTGAATTTATATTTCAGTCATTATAGTTTGATCGTTTCCGAATGAATCTAATACTCGTTGAGTTATCTTCACGTATCAGTTAAGACTTCAACAGTAGAGGGATTTTATTATTTGAATTTTCAGATGTATCGTTTCACTCAATTGGCAAAAAACAATGTTGCCAAACATTTGTTTAGGAATTACGCCAAGGATGTAAAATTTGGAGCCGAAGTAAGGAAACGTATGCTCGAAGGGGTCGACGTTCTCGCCGACGCTGTAGCAGTCACTATGGGTCCAAAGGTTAGCCGTTAATGTCAATGCGGATCTGGCGAATTACGGGTGCTAATAAACATTACAGGGACGAAATGTTATCCTGGAACAATGTTGGGGCACTCCGAAGATCACAAAGGACGGCGTGACAGTTGCCAAAAGCATTGAACTGGAAGATAAATTTCAGAATATCGGAGCCAGACTCGTGCAGGACGTAGCCAACAACACTAATGACCAAGCGGGCGACGGCACGACAACCGCAACGGTGCTGGCGCGGGCTATTGCCAAAGAAGGATTTGAAAAAATCATCAAAGGAGCCAACCCGGTGGAAATAAGAAAAGGTGAAAACACTACTACCCCGTAAATATAAACAAGTTTTGGTAAGTGTATAATATTTTTTTTTTTTAGGTGTTATGTTAGCTGTGGAAGCGGCAAAACAGCATTTGTCCAAGTTGTCTAAAGAGGTACAGACTTCTGACGAAATCGCTCAAGTAGCCACAATAGCTACAAACGGCGATAATAGCATTGGCAAACTTGTTTCGTCTGCGATGGAAAAAGTAATACAATGATATTTATACGTCGTAAATTATATCTGTATTTATAAGAAAATAGTGGTGATGATAATTTTCTTTTTAGGTGGGTAAGGACGGTGTAGTAACGGTCAAGAGCGGGAAAACCTTGGACGACGAATTGGAAGTAATCGAAGGATTGAAATTCGATAAAGGTTATGTGTCGCCGTACTTTGTCAATAATGCGAAAGGTAAATAAACGTAACAAATTTAATAGTACAATATGTGTAATGTTTGGATTTTATGTTGGAACGAATTCCCATTTTATTTAATTTTTCTGCGTTTCAGGCGCCAAAGTGGAATTTCAAGACGCTTTGGTATTGTTCAGCGAGAAAATGATTTCTTCTATACAGTCGATAATTCGTCCTTTGGAATTAGCCGCCGCCCAACGCAAACCCCTCGTTATCGTGGCTGAAGATTTCCACAGTGATGTAACTGGAATGCTAGTATTGAACAGGTAATATACTGTAATTCCATAACATATATAATTCTTTAGTGAAATCCTAACATCTGTTGAAAAAGATTGAAACTTGGCCTTAACGTGGCCGCCGTTAAGGCTCCGGGCTTCGGCGATAACCGCAACGACATGTTGACCGATATGGCTATCGCCACTGGCGGTGTAGTATTCGGGCAAGAAGGAAACGAATTGAAATTGGAAGACATTGTGGCCGAACATTTTGGCGAGGTCAAGGAAGTGGTCATTACCAAAAACGACACGTTACTGCTGAAGGTAATTGTTTTTTTTTGAAATTTTCATGTCTTAGCTCTGGCATATAACCGCAAAAAGCGTTACCACACGGAGATGGGGTTGGGGGTGGGAATGGGGACGGGATGGGGATGAAGATGGGGTAGGATATTAGTGTGAGATATGTTGTACGTTCAACGTTTAAATTAGAACTAAATGATAAATGTAAAATAGTTTAAGGGCCTAAATTCTCTATGAATTGTTTTAAGCCAGATGTTAAACACTACAATATTAGCCAGAAACTTGATGTTTTAATATTCAATATACTAGCTTGTTTCTGCTTCATTATCTATAATTCCACCACTACTCTAAATTTATTCGGTACTTGAACGAGACATGAAAATGCTCTTTCGCGGTTGCAGACTCGGCTGAAAAATATATGCCCCGGTTAGGCCTTATTAACGTTATGAAATGTTGTACACAACAGGGCAAAGGCTCGGAAAAAGACGTGGAAAGCCGTGCCGAAAAAATCCGGGACGAAATCGAAGCTAGTGAAAACGGCAAAAGTGAAATACTGCAACAACGTTTGGCTCGTTTGGTTTCCGGTATAGCCGTGCTGAAAATCGGCGGCAGCAGTGAAGTGGAGGTGAACGAAAAAAAAGAGCGAGTGAACGACGCGTTGAACGCCACCCGCGCTGCCGTCGAACAAGGTATCGTCCCCGGGGGCGGCACCGCTCTGATCCGTTGTTGTGCTGTACTGGACGACTTACGGGGGTCCAACGACGACCAACAAATCGGTTAGTAGTGTGGTATACACTACTGGGGTATAATTAAAATACATACTATTGATAAACAATGCGCATATTTAAAGAACCAACGCTGAAATCGATTTTATCCGAATTAATTTTTCTGTCAAAAGGCCCGGAATAAATTTCAAACACAATATGCCTGCACGTGTTATTATGTTTTTTCTGCGTTTAGCTGTGGCCACCCCCTTCCCACCATTGAGCGCCACCCAGCGACCCAAATCCACACTAAAATATTTGTGCTGTAGGAGAAGGTGGGGGAATTGCGGCCACTTAAGCAAGAATTCAAAAATATCCAGAATCCAACTATAAACTTGTTAGGTGTTGTGTGTTTCAGATTTTTAAAATTAAGTTAAATATATTTTTTTTTAAAAGTGTAAATGACCGCCATTACCCATATAAAGGGGGGGGGGGGGGGGTAATACCAGTCACCAAAAAACACATGTAAAATGATAGGGGAAAATTTAAGTTCCTAAAAGACAATCAATGATATTGTTCAAAGACGTTGTATGTTTAATGGATATTAGGTAAGATTATTACAAAAGCTTTGTTAGACTGTTATTACCCCATCAGTCTTGACTGGTATTACCCCTATCAGAATTTTTTTTATTAAATACATGTACTTACATAGAAGCTGCATTTATATAGGTATATTGTGAGCAAATAAATCGCAATCGTTGCCAGTTTGTGATATACTAGAAACAGGCAATGTGGTAAAAAATTAGAAATTCATTGAGATGAGTTTTAAACACTACAAAAGTGATAAAAAAAAAATTGATAACATCCGGTATTAGGTGGTGATAACAGCGGTTATCAAATTATGTGCGATAGACCGGTATTACCCACTGACTGGTATTCCCGCGTTCTGCCCTATAGTTGTACGCGTTGCCAAAAGGGGCCAACACGGGCATTGTTCATCGGTAGTGTATATTTTAATCTATGATTAATGTAATAATGCAATAGGATGACATATCGTTATTACGGTTGTGTCGGTTATTGATCAATTTTACAGGAGTTGAAATCGTATGGAACGCGTTGACTATGCCGTGCATGACGATCGCCCAAAACGCAGGCGTAGACGGAAGTGAGGTGGTCGCTAAAGTGTTGGACGGCACAGACAACTACGGTTACGACGCGTTAAACAACGAGTACGGCGACATGATCGAAAAAGGAATTATCGATCCCACCAAGGTGAGTGTGCCATGGATTGGATTTAAAAAAAAAAAAATTATGATTTCTATACATTAGGTCGTTAAAACCGCACTGAAAGACGCTGCCGGTGTTGCGTCCCTGTTGACCACGGCGGAAGCGGTAGTAGTGGAGTTGCAGAACAGGGATGAACAGTCGTCGGCCGTGGCGTAAGAGTCAGTCTAGTCAATGATAGACTGATATTTATTTTTGTTTACTGTAAATATATTATCTATCAGACGTTATATTTTGTTATTTATTTGTATTATGTAGTCGGTTTTGGACTAGAAATTAAATCTTGTGATACGCTGTTTGTAATTTTTTTTTTTTTACCACAATCAATTACATTGCTCTGTTTAGTACAATTTTTTTCCCGCAATAAAAATAATGAAAATCTATACAATTAAACGTTAATACCTAATTTGTTTTACATACTAAAAAGACTCGTTGTAAAATGTCGAATTCACAAGATTCGTTGAACAAGTTATTGTTGGTACTTTGAAATTGATAGTTTCACATAACAATTTTTCGGGCGCAGATAAATTATATGTAAATGTTTTTAATACAATTTTATAATAAGATTTTATTTTATTTGTATTTATTTAAGGCATTTTTTCAAGTACTTTTTGTGGGCAAGGCAGTGACCGTTAGATTTGACCATAGGCTTTATAATGCAAATTGAACTGGCCAATAGCTGTGTTATGTATTTATTTTTTTATGATTTGATGTATTTACGTTTTAATTTTTTTTACCAGAAAATGCAAAAAACCGAGGCATATACTTTAAATATAGCATATTTTGTGTTTTATTGACATTTTCATGTCTTAAACACCGGCTTTAGCTCTGGCACACGAAAATCTGTCACAAAAAACTTTCCGAAAAAAGCGTTACGCTGTTATCTGATAAGAGATAAGAGAGATGGGGGTGGGAATGTGGATGTTAAATTTTTTAATTTATGTGTTGTATTCACAACGATCAAACTATAACTGAATAATAAATTCAATAATTTAACAGGTCATATTCCCTATGAATTGTTTTAGACCAGATATTATGAAAGCACAAATATTAGCCAGAAACTTGATATGTTTTAATATACTAGCCACCTTAGATACTAGCGTGTTACTGATTGTTTATATACTATTTCATCATCTATAATTCTACTACTACTCTAAATTTTTTTTGGTACTTCAACGAGACATAAAAATGCTCTTTCGTGGTTGCAGACTCGGCTGAAAAATGTTTTTTTTTTTTTTGTATTATTAGCTGTTAAAGAAATAAAAAGTATATAAGTAGAATGAGAAACAAACTTTAATATACGATTATAATGATAAACTGCACATCACTACATTTCTTATGTTTTCTAATGTCTACAACTTGAATTATTAATATACTCATAGTAATTCATAGTCGACTTAGTTAAGTACACACACTTTTAACAATATGTAATACGTTAAACAAACACGAAATCTTGACAATATCACTCTTAAAAATAGATCAGTAAGATTAATAAATATTATTATATTATATTGTTCCTATAATGATAATGTATGAAGTTGACGTTATACAATTTTAAAAGTTGATTAAAAACATTGTTTTAGTAAAGTCATTGGTAAAAAATGATCTCAAATACAATTTTTTCTGACGAATACTGATCAAATTTGATTTGTTTATTTTTGCAAATCGCCTATAAAATTGCAAACATAAAAAAACAAATTTTAAACATTTTTTTGAAGTATCTACAGCACGTGAAAACAGAACAAAACTGATCTGAAAACAACTTTTACAACTCGAGAAGCGATTTACTAAAAAAAAAAAAAATAAACAGCTGAGTCGATAAAATTCGATTAGAATTTCCTTTGAAATTCCTAAAATAAGATTAATTTTTTTTTTTTTGTACTACGAGCTCAATATATTAGTATTATAATAAGAGTTTATATATTATAGAAATATTGGTATATACACACACACACACATATATATCAAACACATTTCAAAAGAATATTTTAAGAATAAGAATAAGCGAAAAGCAATTTAGTGTATTCGCTTAGTTATTAAAACAAACAACTATAAGTATTCCTCTTCGAAAAACTTAGTGAAATAACACTGACAGGGTCCGCAACAAGTTCAAATAAAAATGATTAATACATACTTAATTTTGCAGCTTGTCTCCTAAGAGCACAAACAAATTAAAATGGAATTTCCTTCTTAGTTCCCAAGACTGTCTGAGACAGGAACTCAGAGTGGCATCTTTCATTTGTTCGAGATGAACATGTCTTATGGCACGGGGGAAGGGAAATGGAACAAAATGGAGGGGATAAAAAGAGATAAGTTTGAATGGCGTAGATAAGAAAATCAGCTGATTAGAGATGATTGATAAGAGACAGGGAGTCATTTTCATGATTCAATGGCATTCTATCATTCCACTGAACCATAGATATATATATATAATAAACTAGATTGCTAACTGTACGTGCCACCAACAGAGAAGATTGAAGCAGCCATTTTCCGCCATCTTGGTGGGAATTAGAACCTTATCACGCGAGAATAATATATGTTTATAACAGTCACATGAAAGTCAGCTGGACAGAAATGAAAAGTAACGTAGATGTATTAAACCAAGTAGGGGAAAAAAGAATTCTGTTAAATACGATAAAAGAAAGAAGTGGAAAAATGTTCGGTCACCTACTTAGGCATAATTCGTTTATGACAAGTATATTTGAAGGACGGATAAATGGACACAAAGGTAGAGGCAGACCGAGGAAGGCATGTATAGAAGAAATGATAAGACAAGCTGACTGTAGTCGATACATGGACGTGAAAAGACTGGCTTTTAACAGAGAAGAATGGAGAACCAGACTTGCGACGACAAGGCAAGGTTAGGTTTAGTAGAGAAGAAGAAGAAGAACAGTCACACATATATTATACGCATTGATAACACGCATAAATCCCACCAGAATGGCGGACCGTCGGCTTCAATTCTTATCGCTGGTTAGCAATCTAGTTTATTATATATATATATATATCTGTGGGCTGAACCGATTTTTGTGCTGTCGCGGTCGGCTAAGTCGGTTTTATTTTGTTGAACTTGTCAGAGAACTCGCGGAGTAAGAGCTTGATCCGCAGCGGCGACAGATAGGTAGGCGTTTTTCTTTTCAGCACCAGAGATTTGACGAGCGAAGGTTGGGCTTTGATGCGGTTGGCCCACTGGCAGACGTCTTGGTCGGTACACCGCAACAAGGGCACGGGCGTGGACCCCAAGAAAAGGCACCTGTGCCATTTCAGCGTGATCTCGGCCGCTTTGGTGGTGCTGAAGACCAGAATCGCCTTAAGCCCGGACTGATCTTCGGCGAACGCGTCCGCGGCCAACAGCGCGCTCTCGTTGGCCGCCTTCAGGATTTCCCGTCTGGTGACTGTCGCGGGGATTCCCACGAGCTTCAGCATGTTCTTGGCCAGGTGCGCCGGTTCGGGCCAAACAAATGTCTTGTTCTCGTCGGGGTCGCGGTCGCTGTGGTCGTCTGCCGTCTCCCTGTCGTAGTCGTCGTCGTCCAGGTGTCCGACCACGAGCGTCTGGCCGCCGTCCAGGGTTTTCCCGTTGAACGTCATCGCCATGTGCTTGTCGTAAGAGTTGTCGAACTTGACGAAAGCCACGCACGGTTCGCGCTGCAGGATCTTGATGTTGGCACGACTGACGCGTACGTCGGCGAACGCCTTCTTGATGTCGTTTTTCGTCAGACCGTCGCCGGACGTCGCGCCGTTCACCTGGACGCACAGGTCGCCCATTTTTCTTAGCCTTTTGCCGAGAACAAAGCTAATTGCCTTCTGCGGTTGACGGGCGTTCGTCTGCAAAGCTGGCTCCTTGTCGACGGTGTCGTCGTCATTGTCGGTGATGTCGTCACTGTATATGGATATTGAAGAATCCCTTAAAAAAAAAAAAAAAATTATAATAATACAGGGTGTATCAAAAACAATGGCGGGGTTAAGAATGGTGGGATTTCAAACGGCTGTAGGTTGTGGAGAATTGGACCTACAGCGCTCTGGTAGGGCTTGAATGAAAGAGATAGGTGTTACGACTATGAAACATCTAGTGTCAGACACATCTAGTGGCAGTCGTTCGAAACTTTACAACTCCCTCTTTCATTCAAGTCCTACCAGAGGGCTGTAGGTCCAATACTTCAAGACCTACAGCCGTTTGAAACCCTTTTTTTGTATTCCCCAATTGGTCACACTTTATTACATGGTTTGTACATCAAACAAGGTTATAACACTGGTGTAAACTGATAATGGAAAATTGTGATTGATTTCAAAAGCACCTATCTGACGATGGTCACTTCAAAACTAGCCATAATCAATAGCTATAACGGCTAACATAAACATTGGCTGGGTTAGGTTATATTCAACAATGTTTGTCAATTTTAACACAGGATGAAATTGACAACAAAACCAGCTATATCAAAATTATAAATCTATTTACCTCTTTTATCAAAATTTGTATAAAATAAATATTCATACATAACTCCAGAACTTTGATTTTATATATATATATATATATATTATAAAATCATAGATTCAAATCCTGACCTTAATTTTGGTAAAGAATTTTGGTTTTTAAATTAGACTCCTCAATTAAAACACTATTAATTATTGAAATAAGGACCAAAAACCGTTTTTTTTTGACAATACAACATGATCTAGCCAATTGTCTATGATAGATTTTTACCGTTCAAAAACCAAACCTTAACTAACTGTGATAATTAATGTTATTTTATATTAATATTAATAAGAAAAAAAGGTCTAAAGTTAAATAGTTTTTGTAGGTTAATTTGTTTCGCTATTTTCCCAGATATCACTGTAAGACTTGTACAGTATCTTTCCAGATAAGCTCTGAGCTTTGATTAGCCGTTCAAAACTTAATCCCTAAAAACTGCATAATATAAAAAAACGAATTAATGTAAAAGTTTCCAGCCCTTCTAAGGGGAAAGAGTTGAAGATATTTGTATGGTCTGTCAACGTTTATCGAATGGTTTTCATCTAAAACACATTTGACTCTAATTTGAATACTATCATATATAAATTATGTAAATATTTTTGGTGTCTTATATTAGTATTTATTTTTATTAGTTTGTAGGTGCAAAATAATTTCGATACTCACAATCCTGAGGATTCATCAGACGAAT